TCTTCTGGCGGGTCTAGCAGTGGGTTCACCAGCAGCTCCGCTTGCTGCTGCTGCTGCTGCTGCTGTTTCTGCCCTTTATGCTTCTGCTGCGGTTGCTCCTGCTGCTGCTGCTGCTGCTGCTCCTCCTCCTTCTCATCCTCTCGCTGCTGCTGCTGCTGCTGCTGCTTCTGTTTGTCTTTGCCGCTGTGTGCAGACGAAATGCCATGCTTGCTGCTGCAGCCCTCCACTGGCAGCTGTGAAGAACGCTTGGTCTGCTGCTGTTGCTGCTGCTGCTCTTGCTGCTGCTCCTGCAGGCGCTGTTGCTGCTGACGCTGCAGCAATTGTTGCTGCAGCAGCTGTCGCTGCTCTGCCTGCTTCTGCTGCTGCTGCCACTGTGCGTCAGCCTTTGTACAGGAGACATCGTGTGTATGTGGGCAGCAGCAGCAGCAGCTGCTGCTGCTGCTGTGCCTCCGCCTCTTCCAGCTACCGCAGCTGGTGTTGCTGCTGAGAATACGCTTCTCATTGCAGCTGCAGCACGTGCTGCTTCTGCTGCTGCTGCGCTGCTCTTTCCTGCTGCAGCCAAGAGACTGCACAGCTGCTAGACGTCTAGCGAGCAGCAAACGGCGGCGGCCACAACAACCCAACACCAAAGTGTGCCGGTGTCTCTGTTGCTGCTGTTGCTGCTGCTGCTGCTGTTGCTGCTGGTGCTGCGGCTTTTGCCTTTGCCGCTGCTCTCTTTGCTGCTGCTGCTGCAGCGCAGGCAATGCGAAGACATTGTCATTAGCGGGTAAGCATGTGAAAGGTTTGTTGCAGCAGCTGCTGCTATTGTTGCTGCTGCTGCTGCAGCTGCTATTGTTGCTGCTGCGGTTGCTGTTGCTGTTGCTGCTGCTGCTACTGTTGCCATCTGGCGGGTGCGTGAGCGGGGCAACAGTCCCCGTGGCTGCCCATTTTCTGCTGCTGCTGCTGCTGCTGCTCCTCAGTTTGTTGCGCTGCTGCTCGGCCAGCTGCTGCAGTATGCGCAGCTTGTGCCGTGAGGCTGGCATTTGCTGCTGCTGCTGCTGCTGCTGCTGCTGCTGCAGCTGCTGCTGTTGCTGCTGTGGCTACCCTTAAGACACTGCTGCTGCCTCTTGTGGGGTGATTCCACCGGCCTTTTAAGCTGCCTTTGCTGAAGCTTCTGCTGCGCAATCGCTGCAGTCCCAGCCCTGCAGCAGCAGCAGCAGCAGCAGCAACGACAACAGCAGCAGCAACAGCAGCAGCGGCAGCAGAACCTGCGCAACTCCACTGATACCCTCTCTTATATAATATAAAATAAATTAATATCATCACAAAGCCGCATGCGTGAGCCATGCAACCGATTACTACTGATGGGGGCCCCCAAGGGGGCCCCCCATGGGGGCCCCCCAGGGGCCTCATGGGGGCCCCCCCGGGGCCCCCAGCGAATCGACTTGCTGCCCGTTGTTTCTTGCTACCTTTTATTCTTTGCTGATGAGGGAAGAGGAGTTTAATTAATTTATTAAATGTTATAATATAATAAAAGGAGAGGGAGAAGGATAATAGAGAAAGAACGCAGCAAAAAGAAGAATAAGGGGTGGCTATCAAGAGAAGACACAAAATAACCAAACCCTAAAACCCTAAACCCTAAACCCTTTTTTCTAGGGCTGGGAGAGAACTACATGCCTCGCTGATGAATCAAAGCAATCAAAAACAAACACAAAAAGAAGAAATTGTTATAAAGACAAGACAAAGAAAAACAAAAGAAGTGCAACAAACCGACAAACAAACAAACAAACAAGCAAACGAATGAAGGATTATACAGCTAGCCGTCCATCCCCAGCTGCCTACAGCTAGCTGTTCATAGCTAGCTGTATGCAGCTAGCTGCTCGCAGCTTCATAGCTAGCCGTTCACAGCTAGCTGTCTACAGCTATCTCTCCCCACAAAGATACTTACAGCTAGCTGTTCATAGCTAGCAGCAAGCAGCTAGCTGTTCATAGCTTCATAGCTAGTTGTTTATAGCTGGCGTGCAACCCCTCGCAATCCTCTACTTACATCACCTGGGGCCCTAGCGGCTCTGGCAGGCCCCGAGCTAGCTGCAGCTAGCCAACCATTGAGGAGCTCAGCTAGCTAAAGCTAGCCAGGCATTGCAGTGCGTTGCTAGCTGCCGCTAGCCAAGTGTTCTACACCGTAGCTAGCAGCAACAGCAGCTAAAGTGCTGCAGCAATCTGTCTCTTGTTCAGCGCCAGCTGCAGCAGCGGTGTATAGCCCCTGTGTCTCTCCTTCTGTCTCTTTCTCTCTCTATGTCTCTGTTTCTCTTTCTGTCTCTGTTTCTCTTTCTGTTTCTGTCTTCCTCTGTTCCTGTATCATTCTCTCCGTCTCTCTCTCTACCCCTCTCTGCCTCTATCTATCTCTCTCTGATTCTCTTCCTGTCTCTGTCTCTCTATCTGTCTCTGTCTGTCTTTGCTGTATTTGTTGCCTCTCTGTCTATATTCACTTCTCCTCTCCTCTCTTACAACCATGCATTCATCCCCCCCCCCTCTCTTCCCCATGTAACTAGGGTTTAGGGTTTAGGGTTGAGGGTTTAGGGTTTAGTGTTATCCTTGATGAGTCTGCCAGAGGCAAAGCCCCGCAGCGAACCATCCGGCA